TCGAAACGCGATAAACTCGACTTCAAACCGGTCTAACCGAATTTTGAGTTAGGATTAACCCGATGCATTCGATTGGAAAATTATAGATACCACACGCGCTTCGAGGACGAACATCACGTACGGAAGCGATCGGCCAATTTCGAAACGTCGATGTCGATGTTACTGCCGCGATTAGGAATACGGGCGCACGATCGAAAAACCGTCGAAATTGTCGCGGTCATCGCCAAGTTTCTCAATTATAGAAACGAACGAGACGACTCCACGAAATATTTCGCGATGTGGAAAACGAATTCAGTCGCGGCGATCTTAACTTTGTGCCGTAAACCGCAGCTCCAGGCAGGATCAGGCAGGATCTGCGAAAACGAGAGAGAAATCGCCGCGAATTTATCCGCGGGTGTGTTTGTCTCGCATCACGTGATATCCGTGATATCGAAGGGAAAATGGGAATTCCACCGTTCCACGAGTACCCGATCGAAAATCACAACTTTACGTCGAAAACATTGCCTCGCGCTACGTTCCATCGCGGAGAACTGTCAACGCGCGGTGAAAAGTGCAAGCTACAAACAACTGCGTTGTACTATCGACACCGTGGTGGTATAAAAAAAACATTTAAATATTTCTCTCTCTCTCTCTCTCTCTCTCTCTCTCTCTCTCTTTCTCTCGCAATAAAATAAATTCTTTTGTCTCGCCATCGCGGCCTGTCGCCCGACCGAGTCCTCGGATGCAGTCATATCGATACGCGGAGCATCGATCGCGTTCGGGAAAAGCTATATGCATCAACGACGTGATTTATGCGACCGTACGATTTATGCTGTGTACATTCCGTATTCTAAAATATAATTCTCTGCACAAACAGTTCGTGCACGGTATGAAAGATTACGATGTATTTCCATGTAAATTTAATTTAATCCGACATTTCCGCAGCAACGTTATCAAACCCGATGCGCGAGCGCATGCATGTCGGATTAAGCATGTAATGATATCTTAGTAATATTTAAAATGTCCCAAATTTGCGTTAATTCGCAAAATACGGAAGGTATACGTGTAAAATAATAAATATAAAATATAGAGATGTACAAAAAGGCGGATATAGATATAAAATATGAAAATTATATCCTTTTATATTCATCTCGATATTCATCTCGATATTCATCTCGATATTCGTTTAGTCTCACAATCAGAATGTGATGACAAAAACTAGTAACGAGTGCTCTGAATGTGGTGTTAATACATTTAAACTCGAATTCAACTGTCATTCTGAAATCATCCTTACTTTTGCAACAAAATTTATCAAGATTTAAAGTTGTCATTTCATCTCGTATCGGAATGCAAATAATATGAAACAAGATCGATGTGTTCTATTAAAAACCATAATTCATAAAACTTGCTAAGACACAAATTTTTCAGCTGCATCGGTATGCATCACTCGCGAATCATCGCGTCGGTAAAAGGGAAGAAACTGACAATCGGGCAAGGTGGAAGCGCGGTGCACGGCTTCAAATACAAATCTCTATTAAAGGAGACGCGTCGCATCAAGAGCGGCCGTATTTTCGCCACGCATTCAGCGTTAAACACGGCTGCGTGGCTCCCACACATCAACGTCCCATTCAACGTCACGTTAACGTTGAATGGGATTCTCATGCCGTACGAATGAATCAACAAGCTTTTCGGAATCGGACGAGCGTGCGGGCGTTTAACGTTAAATGATCGGGGAGGTAATACACGGATCGCGCGGGAGGAGGACGTACGCGAGAAAGTAAGAAAATACAACACGCGACAACTGTATACTTAACTGCACTTAACTATACACACACACACCCTTTTACCTTCGAGGCACTGGGTCGCGCACAACGTTCGCCGAGGATCGATATAGACGGCAGATTCTTTCGCGTTTATGTGCAAGGTAATCGATTCGCCGGTATAAGTACGTATACAGGGAAAGACGGCATACGTATCCATAAAGATCGTCCGGCGGCATACGATAAGGGATCACCGAAATCGATTATTGGAACTTACAAATCGCGGAAACGCGTAACGACGCTCGTAATAACTCCGGGAGGACAGGCGGTCCCATTATTCGCGCTCGGAAACTCCGCAAGGCCGACAATTCTTATCGTTTCCTCGCCCGAGCGGGATACTACGTTTCGCCCGTTTCGCCCCCGCCTGTCCTCGTGCACGCACACAAAAGACAAAAAGAACTCGCGAGTTTTACTCGCGGTGTCTCCTCTCGGCGATGGCGCATTCAGACGCGCCGGTAAACGACGACAAGTCGCTAAGAGACTCGAAATATTTATGCGAAATGTCTCGCATAAATATCGCGGCGGCGCGCGGCAGCGGCCGTAGAACGAATGGCTCTTGTGCGAGTTTGCGATCTCAATGCCGATTGCTGTATAATACTGCAAGGAACTCCTAATTATTTCCGAATTACGCCAGATTAATCTGACAAAATTGTAAGAGTAAACTTGCGATTCGGTTGGAAATGCAATTAAAACATGCTAGAGGGAATTCATCGACGAGTAGAAAACCCCCCAAAAGTTTTCTTGTTTTTTTTTTTTAATGCAATCCTACGGGATATACATATTGCGTACAACTGGAAACTAGTAATATAATAAATATAATGTATACAAATTAAGTCGAGAACTTGAGAATTTTAAAGTTTTAAAAATGCGTTTCGTAATGGCAAAAGGAGAAACCAGAAATTCTGCAAACAAAAATTTATATACTGCAGTATATTAGCAAATTCGACTAATTGTAAGAGAGCAGGTATAAAATTAACAGTAAACTGATTTTCTCTAGTAATTTATATCTGTTGTAAATTCTCGAAAATATATTTGTTATAATTCTTTCTTAAACTAATTTAATTTGGGCACAAACCGCTGTATTAATCAGATAGAGAGATTCTACTGAAAGAATATCTCTTTGGGTATTCTCTCGCATTTATATTCGTCGGTTTCCTTCGCACGCCATGCGCCAGCTTGCAGGATTGTGTTCTATTTTCCCGTCACGGTCTCATGCTGATTTCGAATCAATCAATGTTGCCTGGCGCTTGTCTCGTGCAACACCGAACTCGGTGACGAGGCTACGGTTGTTTCGGAACCCGCCGCGCGCCGGTGCAACCTGGTGCAAAGCGGCACGCGAGGAAACCGCTAGCGAAGCACGCCTCGTGCCCCGCGGGCTCGGAACTCACAAACCTGTGAGCAACATCGAAGGCACTCGGCTAACGAAGAGAAAGTCGCTCGTCTCGTTAAACACATCCAAAATTCAACAATAGCAAGAAACAGACGGACTCGGGGTATATTTTGCGCAAACGCCGGCTTCGTTTGCGCAAAATACATAGGAAGGGCGGAAACGGATAAGACGAGAGTGCTCTCTCTCTCTCTTTAGCGACGCCCCGATCGCCCGAAACGGAGCCGGAAGGGTTGAACGATAACGTTCGCGGTTTCTGGCACTGGCGACGCGTGGAAATTGTGATTTGATCGCGCCCGTGCACGCGCGTGTGCGTGCGAGCCACGCGCAAAATAAACAATTACGTCGAGTTAACCCATATTTCAGTCCGGAGTCCAGTTACGCGAAAGTAAGAGAGCCGCGGACACTCGGCCGGCGTTTCTCTCCCGCGTAACGACTGCACGCCGTAATTGTACATTGCGTTCCAACGCGATCGTCACAGCAGCGTGTGAATCTCTCAACCGATCGCACGTATGTTACATTCACTTGTAATTCAGTAGCGAAGTCGCGACAGCGGAGACCTTTGCGAGCCCGAGAAAGGAGCTCGTGCGTGCCTCGTGAAATTCGGAAATTTTATTCCGGAAAAATCGTTTCTCAGATACGTGCGAGTATCACTCGCGGTTCGCGGTGAAGATTGAACTCGGGATTTCCCTACGATACTACATCACACAAGCCCAGATAAGACAAGTACCTAAAAAATACTGGAAAGGATGTAAAGGGCGTATCTTGAACATTTTTTGAATGTTATCATTCGGAAACCGATGGCAATTGCACACGCGAACATTTGAAAATGCAAGTTAGGTCGTCGTTTGCCAAACATTTGCGAATAAAAAAAGACAAATCCAAATATTGAATACAAAAATAAAGGATAACGGGCGAAATGATTTGCTAAATATTTGACAAATAACAAAGATGGTGCCAAAAAATCCAACGTAAAGAATTTCGAACATAAAAATTCGTCGTTTGCTAAACATTTGCAAATGACAAAAGACAATGTTCAATATATTGAATATAAATAAAGGATAACAGGTGTAATTGGATACTTGCTAAATCTGGAAAATAACAAAGACAGCGGCAAAAAATCCAACATACAAAATTTCATCTTAAATCGATCGCTGGGTAGAGATACGGCGAGAAATAAATAAAATGCAAATATTCTCGAATAATACGCGCGCTTGATGTTAATGATATTATCCACTTACGGGATAAACGCACAAGAGTCTGCACAAGCATTCTGAATACGAATGCAGGAGTACACCATCACTTTCTCCCTTTCATCGCGAGAGCGCTTTTGCGGAAAATTATAACGCGCCAAGGTTTTGTTGTAGCGCGTAACTTCGAATCAATGAATCGCGGCTATATACTCCGGCACGAAGGGACCTTGGAATTTCGGAGCGGGCGGCGAAACGACGCTCAAAAAGCGGTTGTTTCGCAACAATTCGCAACGGCGAAGCGCCACCCTCCGGCGGAGTCGCCGCCGTGTTGTTATTGCCGATTGTGACACTTCGCTTCTCTATCAATTTTATTCAATCCGCTGACGAGCGGACGCGTCTCACCCCGCGGGAAACGTCGCTCGAGGAGTTACCGTTCCCGGATCGGGCGATCGTTCGACCAAATCGTCGCACCCGTTTCGTCGCGATATCTATCTTCTCCGCGCGAGCCGGAAATAAGGAAAGGGAAAAAACCTGTCAACCACCGTGTCGTGCCGTGACACGATCCGCGACCGCGACACGGGAGGGTGTCGCGGCGAAAGAAGGATCGTCGTTTGGACTTACCTCCTCGGCGAATTCGAAATCCCCGTCGAATTTCCTCTTGCATCTCACCCCCGTGGCCAGAACCAGCAGCACCGCGGCCGCGAGCATCCACGAGAATCGCATGGCTGAAGCCGCCGCCGTCGGGTTTCCTCCGACGAGTCCTCTCTCTCCTTATCCCCCCGGAACCGTCACTTACTTCACCGCGGAAGACGCTCGCGCGCGCGGCGCGACAAAGAGAAAGAGAGGAGATCGGCACGCGCGAGTACACCGTCAAACGTCAAAACGGAAGGCAGAAGTATTCGGGGCGGTTGACGCGGACGACGCAACCGATGAACGACGTCCGGCGCACGCGAAACTCCGACTTGTCGTGTGTGTATGACGTATATATATATATGTATATGTGTACGCGCGAGGTGCTCGACGCGGAACGGAAACGCGCAGCTCGATAGCCGAACGAGTTGTGCGGTAACCGCGCGAGGTGAGGCGACACCGTCACTGCCGTCGGCTGCGCCACCAAAGGCGCGCGCACATCCCCCCCTCCCCCCGCTCATCGGCCGAGTCCAAACGAATCGCGTGCTCGGAGCGGCGCGCGGAGAGGGAGCCGGTAGCGCGCGCGCGCGCTACCCGTTCGGCCGTTCTCGCCGCTCGGCGTGCACCTGTTCGGCAGCCTTCGGCGCGCGCGCGCGGACACCCCGCCGCCAGTCAATACCTTCAGCTGCTAGTTCACCTACCTACCTACCTACCTGATGTAGCCCGTGGCTTTGACGGAGAAAAAGGGAGGAAAAAAAAAAGATTGCGGGGAATTCGTTGGAAAAGGGCACCGGGGAAAAATCCAGTCCCGTTCTCCCCAGACGATCTCGGCCGTTCGGCCTGATCGACCAATCTTTTTTTTTCCCCCTTTCATTCTCTTTTATTCTCTTCGTTACGATTGCTATTGCTATCATTGTTCTCTCCTGTTACCTTACTTTAGTAAATCGTCGTATTGCGTCCCTTAGAGGATGGAAAAATCCACACAAATAAAAAGAAAGTTTTACTTTCTGGAGTGACGGCTCTTCCATTGTCTTCTGATATTTATGCGAACCGAATCGAAACGTAAAACATTGGCCTAGTTTACACCGATCACTTGATACGCGTATTAAATAGTAAATAACTAGTAAATAAGTCGGATTATTGGCTGATCAGTTCAAATATACTATATGATACGCGTATCAAGAGATCGGTGTAAACTAGGCCATTAAGTTCCCGAGTGTATACGCCAATACCCATTTCAATTAATATGATAAATTTATTGGCAATGTCAATTTTAAATGTAACTTAAAGCGAAAATCTATTCTCGCATTTGTTACATTACATCTTTCATTATGCGTTGACCTACGTGCCAGTTTACGTACGGGTCTGTAAAAGTGTAAATAAATAATCAGCACTTAACGTCACGTGTTATGAATATTTTGTGCGGAAAGCTTCAGTAAGCTGCGAGTGCGAACATTCAGTCATCCCTGTTAACTTAGTAAAATGCAGTCGCTTTAAACTTAAGAAGGATGTTCGATTCTGAATCGAAAGATCGATTTTAAAAAATCGATCTTTTTCTATTCGATTTCAAGATAATTATTTTAATAGAGAATCGATTTTTAATTTGTTAATAAAAATCAGTAATATGTACGTTAAATTTTTACACCGTATTATTTTACCTTTTTTCATACATTTTGATAAAATATCAAATGCTTTGTCAATTTTTTTACTTTTATACGCAAAATAACATGAAAAATTGATTTATGTATAAAACAAAATATCTTTATTTAAAAAAAAATCTTTTTAAGAAAATAAGAATCTTTGAATCTTGAAAATACCATTATATAAAATAGGTCTTCTATATATTAAATATAAAAAGTATTGTATTAATATAGATACTTATTTTTTTATGTACGATATTTTTAAATCAATTTTTGAAAATTGATCTTTTTAATACGGTCCTTTTAGTGAATCGATTTGTTGTTCAAATTCAAAATCGATTTAGAAATTGATTATGAAAAGCGAACATCACTTAAAATTGCGCAAATATTTTTATATATTAAATATATCTTCAAAAAATATATCTATACATATATGTAACGTATCTAACAAACAAAAAATATCTAATATTTCACATTTCAACATTTTAACATTTTAGATTTACTACACACATATGCAGAAAGATACTTCTCTTAAATTTCATAACGTATTTTCTAACAAAAAAGTCATTGGATTATATTCCTCAAGTTTCTTCTACTCCTAAAAATAATCGAGAAATTACCATTTATTCGATCTTTTTAGTAGATACGGCAATTTGCTTTTACACTCTCGAGACCCAACTGCAGAATTTATCGCACCAAAGAGCTCCTCTACTCTGTAGATCCACAGCGGATGCGTGCCACGTGAAAGAATATATGTAGTTCCTAACACATGTTGCTAAGTACATTTTCAGAAGAAGACAAATGTCTCTTTGGAGACTGCTATCTGTGGAACATTGTGTCCAAAGACGTGGCCTCGGTGAAATACAATAAGATCAATTTATAATCACGTCACATTTGCCCATCCAATCACGGCTTTCCACATTATTTGAAAAATACCGCGAAAGAGCATCTTTGACTATCCCTCTCAAATTCAAGATAATACGTAGAAAATATAAATAGAATGTGTGTAAGGTATAAATATATGAATGAGATGTAATATAAATATTCTAAAATAATGTGAAAAATAAGGATAACTCTTGGAATAAATACATATGCATCTGTACCCAGGCCAGTTTGTTTATTGTTATCTCCTTATTAGGAAAAATACTAAAAAAAGTAATCAACCTTTTTTTTTTTTTACTAAGGAACCCATCTGCTTAAACCTGTACAGCTATATCACAACCCATAAATGAGATTATGTCTCTTTCGTGGTACATCGAAACGTGCCGTTATCGATGTAACATCGTTGGATAATATATATGCGGAGCATATTCGAAAAGGTGCTATTTGTATAAACAGTTTATCCTATGTCACTTAATTTAACATAATTTGTGTATCTATTAAAAAAGAATGAGATTTTAATAACAACAAGCAGTAGCGCCGCATATATATTGAATTGTTTAAATGCTATTTATAATTATTTGAATGCAATGAAAAAAATTATGTATTAGTGAAAAACATAAAGATGATAAATGAGAAAGAACTCCATGTTGAATATGAGCGAACGAAGAAGCTGACTTCGATATAGTTGACTGAACGAAGATATCCTTTTTTTTACCTTCATTTAAGATGTACGTAATGCCATTTATCGACTGAAATCATACATTATAAAAACAATTTAATGAACAAGAGTTTTAATTCACATACATTCAGCATCAATAAAGTCTTCATATACATAATTCAAGTATTCGAAAAGTAAATACAATTTTTAGGTCCCATCATAACTATTACAATTTGGGATGCATGAAGTAATATTTGTCAACTGAAAGTGAATTAGAACATTACAAGTACTATTACATGTAAAAAATAATTTTAAAAAACTAATAAGAATTCCAATTCATATAAAAAAGAAAATTTATATTTATCTTTATTGTTATACTTGAGTTATTTACCTATTGGTTCGACGGCTTGAGGTTCTACTGGCTCAGGCGCCTTTTCTAAAATCTCCTCTGCAACTTCTGTGGTAATCTTGAAAGGACTCCCCTCCACTGTTACATTAGAACTGTAAAAATAATACATAAAATACCATCTCAATTACTTTATCTACAATTTGAAAACTAATTTTTACGTACCAGTCTATTTCACCAGATGAACCTTCCTGTTTGATTAAATTTTGCCAATGTTGATGCACTTCATCAATAATGTGCAGCGCAAAGTCTCGTGTTTTTGCTTCCCCATTAAATGCAAATTGATTTTCTGGTTTTCCATCCGGAATTTTATATATCTTAAACCATTCAATTGTAGCTTTCAATAAGCCTGGGAAATGTGTCTCCATATCGTTTATATCTGCAATATTTGTCAAGTTAGCGATACGAATACAAAATCTCCTATTTGAACTTTCTGCATGTTCAAGAATTTTAGTCGAAAAGAATGTATTATATTAAGTACTGCATAATCTTAATAAATGTGAATTAAAATATAATTACCGTTCATTTGATCTGCCAAAGGATCATTAACATCAATTACAATAATTTTCCAATCAGTTTCACCTAAAATAAAAATTGTTTATAATGAAATTTAGATACTATTGTATTTTTTCTGTGCATATATAACTTATCCTAATATATATTTTGGGAAATATATCTGTTCAATAGTAATAATTAATAAATAACTTTAATTATCTAACCTTCATCAATAAGTGCTACAGTTCCAAGAACTTTCACTTTTAATACCTCGCCTCGTTTGGCAACCTATATCAATGCAAATATATTTTTATCAATAATTAGTACATGAAAAATAAAACTATTTGTGTGAAATATGTCACTGCAATTATTTCTCACCTTGTATCCTATTTCAAGAACATCAATAGGATCATTGTCACCTTTGCAGCCTGTTGCTTCATCCAAAACATCAGGATTTTCCCATGTCTGTTAATTAAATATATTATTTAGTACGGTTATCTTTATTATAATAACAAGTACAAAAAATAACAAATTATATAGTATTAGAGTAAAGTGCCCTATTATGAGACAGGATCCTAATATGAGATATATGTCAAGCTAAGGTCCTATATAGGCCTCATCTGTTGATTCCACCATGAAAAAACCCCACCATCTCATATTAAAATTCTATATTAAACAGCTTTTAATAAGAGATAAAAAATGTATCTTTTCTGTTAAGAAACCAGGAAACGAAATAACATTTCAAGAGTAATGGAAAATAATAAGTGACAAATGTAAGTATGCGCCTTGAATTACAAGCTTATATATGTATGTGCAAGATATATGAACATGAGATAAGGATTATATATAGATACTATTATATATAGACACTTAGTGTCAGTTCAATGTATAATTGCTCAAATCAATAAGACCGTCATTGAATCACACGTATTATTATTAGGAAAAGATGATAAATCAATGAGATCATCATTGAATGACACATATTATTAAGAAAAGAGTGATAGTTTATCTATGATATTTGATCAAGTAATGATTAAAAGAATGTATTTTATTAAAAATATACTTGACGCAAAATGCTATCGCTCCTCTGATATAGGCAAGTGTTATAAATGCAATATTTTTTTAATTTAAGTTTTAAACTAACTTTTTTCTTCATTTCGTTCAAAAAAGTCTTTTTTTGTTTTCAGTTTCTTTGAGGCTACAAAAAATGGTGGGTGGGTGTGTGTGTAATATTTTGTGTAGTTTTAAAGAAACTGAAAACAAAAAAGACTATACATATATATATATATATATATATATGTATATATGAGTGCACAATAGCTCAGTAGTAGAACAGTTGCTTCTTGAGCAAAAAAACTCAAATTCCTGTAGGCCTATTCTGTAACTCTTAACGACAGTTTCGCTATCGTTATATTTGCGTTGCGCATATATTATATATGGTAAAAAAGCTTCGCAACGACAATATAACGATAACGAAACTGTCGTTAAAGCCCTTTGCACAATAGGCGATAGCGATAGCGATAGCGACAAAGTTGCCGACAAAGGTATAGCTTTGTCGGCAACTTTATCGCTGTCGCTGTCGCTATCGCTATCGCCTATTGTGCAAGGGGCTTAAGAGTTATAGTTATTACAGAATAGGCCCACTGTTCCTGTCATTTCACATATGATGTAAGGAATTTATAATGAATAAATATTATTCCACTGTGATAGAAACAAGAATTGAAAATGCTATCAAAATAAGCAATTAAATAACAATTAAGTATTTTTGCTAGAATTCCTACTTGTGGCAAAGCTCCATAATTCCATATGTAACCATGGTGAGGAAAACAATTAGCGACAAATCTCAATTTGCCTTTCTTGACATCCTGCTTAATGGGATTCAAAGGCTCTTTAAGACATATCTCCATTTTGGCGTTTGTCCATCTTGGTATTTCGACAATCATGTGCATGGTCTTGTTTTCTTCGTTGGCATAGAGCGGAATGTCATGCATAGGCGAGATTGGGACACCCGACTCATTTTCTACAAGTAAGAAAAAAAATTTTAAAGTATTGTAAAAAAGAAATACATATAAAATATTAATTATTCAGAATAGTTATTCCATATGCTAATTCAGAATAACAGTTATTCCACATGCAACAATAAATGTCTCAGAAAAATCTCTGATATGAAGAAAAACGATATAAAACTGAAGAAAAATTTGTATGCATAAGAACATAAGTCTGAAGCATAATCAGAACTCATTCCTAACTTCCTCATTCCATGTCTAACAAAAATATACTTTCACTCAACAGCCTAAATGTCACACGGTCATATCAAATCAGATCGATGTGGGGACCGTGTGAAAAAACGATAGTGGACGTTTGCCATTCGAAACATCGTTATTTCATCCGCGAAATGCGTCGCAAGTAACGGCGGTAACGAACTTGAAGCCCGGGAATCCCGGGATCGAAATCCGACCGTTAGAAAACGGCGCGCGATCGATCGGAGGCTCCTCTGAATTATTCACCGTCAAGACGGTGACAATGCGCGAAGACCTCGCTCGCGGTGCCGCGATTCCGTGTCGTTCGAGAAAATTCGAGCGAGTCAACGCAATTAATGATAACGTCGTAGACGTTTAATGGCATGCCACGCGCGAATGCACATCCGTGACCTAGCGACCTTAACGAAGTTCACGGCCTCCTCTCGGCGTCGAGTGCCGACTTCCGCGGCTTACACAATTGTCGTATCTACGTCACGTATCACGTCGAATATACTCACTTAAAAATACTCTGTAGTCCGTGCTATTGAGCGCACCCCTCTCGACGGTTGTGTACGACATGTCTCGGCAAGGTTTCGCGAAAGCAACGAGCTTCGTCAACGCCGGTCTACTGGTTGTTACGAATCGCGATGGAATAGCGAGCCTTGCCAAGCCGTGGCAACGTAACACGTGCAACGTTACCAGAGACATTCTGCCATCTGTCGTCCCGCGCGGCGCTCCTCCGCCAACGCTGCGGAAGAAACGTTGTTATCAACGTTATCAACAGCAGAGAGCACCTCATAGAAGTTAATTAGCCGGACAACTTCGACTTATGACATTTTTTTTTACGAATCGATTGTTAGTCGTTTGTTATTGATTGTTAGACTAATTAGAACGTTTTTTAGTTAATAGTTTTTACGTAATCACGAAAATAATTTTTAGTTTTAATTTAGTCATCTGGAAGAATTGCGTTGTGCTAATTCTTTCTTCGAGGACGAGCGTGGCCTAGTAGACAGCGCACTGGTCTATTGAGCCAAAGGTCCCGGGTTCGATTCCCGGTAGATCTAGAAAATTTTATTCGCTCGTTCTCCTCTCGGAAGGCAATGGCAAATCACCGAGAGTATGTCTTGCCACGAAAAGTTGCCGTTCGAAATCGGCGTTAAACTGTAGGTTCCATATGCAATGTGTATAATCCACGTGCGCAACACATGTATGTATATGAAGAGAATACCATGCCCTTCGTCGGGGGACCTGAATTTTCGGACCCAATAGCAAAGAACTTTCCTTGAATTAAATGCCCACAGCAAATCCGAAATTCTTTGTCAAATGATCTAACATTTCTGGTTTCTCATCTTTCACAAATTTTACCAGCCTCATATACCTTACTTATTTTTGTTCCCGCAACTAACTTTTTCAAGATCTCTTCTTCTAATTGTAACAAAATTCGGACGTATGTAACCGTAGAAGTAAGAATCGAGCAACGCGATTGGTCGAAACCTTACTGTTACGTTCTACGAAAAGTGTGTGTGCCCTGCTTAACGCCTGTGTCGCGTGCGTACCGTCGCGCGTTCGTGGCGGACAGCTGACCGTCACAAAGCTAATAAGAATAGAAAAAGATAAAAAAGTGAATTAAACCGGGTTTAAATTCAAGTTATTCTATATTGGTAGTCGGCGAAAATTACAAAAAAAATTTATTAGAACACTGATCGATATTTTAAATTTTTTAACGCTATAATCTTGTTGATGACAATAATGACATGAATGCATGATAAGCACAATTTCATGAAAACGCACGATATATCGCGTGAATGTACATACATGTCTTTTTTCAAACACATATTTTTTTTACTATAATTAAAGACAATTTCTCAAATTATAACACAATCTTGGAGCGATATACTCCATTAACTCCATAAATAACGAATGTTTTTCAATGGCGCCTTATTACATTAATGCACCAGAAAGATTGATATCGAGAATAGCTTTTGCATGTATAAGTTTACGTGGGCTTAATTACGCTTAATCATTTCTAGAGTGATTTGATTCGATTTGTTTTGAAGTTAGCGAAACGCACGATGAGTAAAGTCGCTATTACGGAATTACATAATAGGATCATGCAATAACGTGCAATAACGTGCCGGCCCTGCCCCTGCCGGCCGCTCATCTGTGAACGTTCACAACGAATCGCTACTATCGCTAGTTTCGCTCGCGACCCCGTATATCCCGTAGCGCACAAGTTGGGATTTGCATTCTGCACTCGTTGCACCCGTACGGCGTACATATACTACATGAGTCAGCTGCTAAGCCGTGTTGTTTTCGCCAACGGACGGTGGTCGACGTTCAGTTGTTTCCCACGAAGCTTTCACGTATCATCACGAAAAATGGTTATTGCCGTGAGTATTCTTTGATCTGGTTATCTTGGTAACGATTCATTGATTATCTTTCCCCCCTTTGAGAGATTTCTCCTTGTGATGCATCATGAACATGGAATGACGCACAATATAAGTCACAAGATATATGTACATATAATCGCTGATCAAGGCTACGTTCCGATATTCACTGTCAGTACTGAAAAACTATAATGTACGTCACGTAAACTATAGATTTTCAGTACTTGCAGCGAATATCGGAACTCAGGCCAAAGCTGATAAGACCAGAATACAATAGATTCTAGACACTACAATGACAATATTAGGTAGTTTTACAGTTACTTGTATTGCTTACCTATTGCATCGTGATAAACATTATATAATTTAAATAGCAAAAGATAGAATGAATTGTGATTAAGGCAAACTTGTGCTAAGGCAGACAACGTAACATGTAATTTATGTTTGTGACATATGTATGTAACATATATATTTAATTTATTTTCAAAGTGATTGCTAATCGCTGGTCGAGTTTCTCATACTCACACGAATAGATGTCTTGTCAAATATGATGAATGATTTCCCTTTATAGGGATAATGTTCCTTACTTAAAGACAAAAGATCAATTATGAATAACTTTCAAGGTTGGTGACAAATTACCCAGCGTGGATCTTTTTGAGAACACGCCGGCAGACAAGGTGAATCTAGCAGAGGCTGCAGCTCGGTCCAAGAGCATCATAGTGTTTGGTGTGCCAGGTGCATTTACGCCCGGTTGTTCAAAGGTAAAGAAAGAAAACTAATTTCTTTCTTAATAGTTGCCTAAATTTTTTATAAATCTAACACTTCCATATCTTAATAAAATAAAATGAGAAATCTTTCTTTTACTTTGGATATAGCTTTGGATCTAATTTCAATTTTTCTATTAATGCAATATCTTTTATTTAAATTTTCTTTATTTAAACTTTTCAGTTAGAACAAAATTATGTAAAATTTTCATTTTAACAAATTTATGCAATTATATTATATATGTAGATGTATAGCATGTAACAGGATAAATTTTTTGAATGATAGATTACATCAATATTTGTGACTTGTGTAATTCACTTATTAATATTGATTTTCAGACTCATTTGCCTGGTTATGTTCAAAAGGCGGGTGAACTGAAGAGTAAGGGAATTTCAGAGATTTTCTGTGTCAGTGTTAATGATCCATTTGTTATGGCAGCCTGGGGAAAAGAACATGGTGCAGCAGGGAAAGTATGCTCATTTGATTATTGCACCTATCGAATTAAAAAAAACTATATGTCATCAATGATTTATTATATTACAATTTAAATTTCCTTAGTCTTTTGTAATTAAGTTATTTTATAAAGAGGTTGTTTCTACTCTTAGGTACGAATGTTAGCTGATCCTAAAGCGGAGTTTACAGATGCCATTGATCTTGGTATGGATTTACCGCCTTTAGGAGGCAAACGCAGCAAACGTTATTCTATGGTTATTGAAGATGGAAAAGTAAAGGAGATCAATGTTGAACCAGATAACACTGGTCTATCCTGTTCCCTAGCGGATCGCATCAAAGTTTAAAGCAAAAGCTGATATTTCCTTGATATTTCCTTTTTTTTCATCTTTCATGTGTGTACTGTTAATATTAATAGGTACTTTTATTCCTTTAACTTAGTGATTTCGTTTTTAAATTGAAAAAACTGTTGTGATACGTTGCTTTTAGTTAAGTTTTTGTATGTTGCGATAGAAATATTTCAATGTATGTTTCTATAATTCTTTTTATTATATGATATATCTTATGAAGATATCAAGGAATTTTACAAAAGTAGCTACTTGAATGCTTAATAAATCCAAATAATTTATCAATTTCATGATTATACATATCTTTTATAACTTATGAAGAAAATTAGTGAGGCTTACATTGTATAATAAAGGTTCATTAATGAGAAAATTTAGTCTTTTTTTTTTTTCAAATAAAAAATTCTAAAAGGAAACTGCATTCTGATCGAATTTGTAGCATTATGCATTAATTTTGAGTATATTGCGCAATATACACATACATTGTAAACCATTCAGCATACATATAAAATTATTTATTGTGAAATGACTAGATTCGTTCTGCATTGATATTTTTTGCATTTGAAACGAATTAAGTATAACAACATAATATAATAATTAAATGAAAGAAAGAGGAAAGACAAAAAGAACAAAAAGTTGTATTACATTTGATCTGGAAGTAACTTCTTTTTATTAACTTTTTATCTTTTATTATCTTTTTATTAAACTTTTGCCTTTAGTCGAAGGCCAATCGGCCATCTGGAGGTGACTATTTCAGGTACATAAATATACGTTATTAGTAACTGAAGACATTAATATATGAATACATATACTTTCGTATTCCTGTCTGAAGTTAGTCATTCTCGAGACGAACGTCAATACGCTTCAAACGGTACGTACACTTCAATTTTTGTCCGCGTAGCTATAGGAATTTCCATTAATATAAAACGACGTTCGATTATTATTATTATTATTAGTATTATTATTATTGTTTCCTTTTCACGTGACAAAATGTTCCGAATGCAAACACTAAAATATATTCTAATTGGAATGCTTAAATTAATTATTTTGTGTCGTTGAGAGGTCATTGCGAAACGCGCGAGAGTGCAATGCGCGCGCGCACGTGTCGGACCGCGCCGAACCAATCGGCGGGCCGCGCGCGGCAGTTGGCCGGCCAATCCGTGATCCCTTGCGCGTCGCGCCATTGTGCTAAAGCTAACCGTGCGCTTTCCGATCTGCCATCGTCGTCGGCGCATAGTTCACGGCGGAGAGAGAGAACAGAGAAAGGGCTCTCGCGGCGGTGCCTGGGTTTTCGTTGCACTTGCATGATCTTTTACGCCTGACTCTTGATCCTGAGACTCGAATCTGCTCTCACAGCCGTAAGTAGAGTGTGTGACCGTTATCACGCCGACGTCCGAGTCCCGATCCGCGGGCCGAGACCGCCAATGGACGCTCTGTCGCGCGCGCGTTGACGTGCCGAAGGATCGAGAGGATTCCAGGCCAATGTCAGTCCGCGTTGGCCGTGCGCGTGCCAAGATGTCCAAAGCGGGCGATCGCGCGCCGCGGGGGATCGGCGACGGTGCCGAATCCGCCGCGCGTCGTGTCGCGGACGGCACGGCGATGATGCGTGATCGGCGCGGACGTTACCTTCGCTCTTCCCTCCGCGCGGCATCCCCGCCCCGACGATCTCGTCGTCAATTGAGTCCTAACCCTCACGCGGAATCCATTGTCAAATGACCGTCGCGACTACGATGATGGGATCGCGATTCGCTGCCCGCCTTCTATTTTTTCCTCTCTTTCCTTCCGCGCAGCGAAACTTCTTTTCCCTCGCGAAACAGGTTCCGCTTGCAGCATCGTCATTTTCGCCTCTCGCCTTTGTATTCTTGTTCGCATTCATATGACGAGTACGTCAGTGCATCTATACATGTGCACACCTATGTATGCGCGAGCGCGCGCGCGCGCGTACATATTTGAAGATATTTTTAAACGAAAGAGAGAGGGGGAGAGAGAGAGTGAGAAATTAGCTTCCCCTTTTGCTTATACAATTCTCAAGTATAGCTTATATGTTTGATATAAATAATTATTAGATTGCAAAATTGTTGTGAGTAGATAATTGCAAATCTTCTCTTTTTTTACCAACAAGGCAATAAGGTAGTAACGTACAAAAAAAATTAGTTCTGTTTTTATTGTTTCTAAATAATGAGAAATGCTAATGCTAAGGATTAAAACTGTTGTAATTTTATTTTTGAAAGTATTAGAATAATATGACGTATCGTGTTTTGTAATATAATTTCCACAAACATTTATATGTATTACTATCGAGATACTTGGTCTAGCATGCATCTTTCTTTCTCGCTTTTCTTGATATTATATATTGATTGAGAACTATTATAACTATAAAACTGCAACGTCAAAAACATTTATATAATAATTTTCTTCTTGGAAGCAAGAATTTTATTAATTACAGTAAAAATAAAATATTAAATAAAAATTTAAAATACATAAAGATTAGTTAACATATTTTTTTTAGACATATCAGTAATAAAGTATTAGATGATAACTTACGAATTCAATTACTACGTAATCTATGTAACGATAATAAGTAAAAATCTTTTTCATTGTTTTATTCCTATAGTTCCTATAGTAAATATGATCTCTTCCAAACTTTAAAAAATTTTTAGTTTTGTGTGTGATGTACAAGTATATAAAAGTACCTTCTGTATGTCTGACAAAGAAAACTGGTAATTTTAATGTAGTACGAATAGATTATTATAAACTCAGAGCATTGAAGATTGATTGATTGCAATACATCATTAAAAAATTCCTGAATTATATCGCAACTTTTTCTTGCGCTATGTTTAAGTTTAATAAAAAAATTGTATTAAATTAAAATGTAATAATAATCTAATAATATAAAAATAATGTAATAACGTAAAAAGGTAATAATATAATTTGTATTTTTAGATGTCAACTGGACCTACACATAAACATCGTTATAAAAACGTAGGATTAGATTCACAAGAACTGCGGAGACGCAGAGAAGAAGAGGGAGTCCAATTAAGAAAGCAGAAACGTGAGCAGCAATTATCAAAACGTCGCAATGTTCCTAACATTGTTGCGGATGAAGATAATGTTACAGCTACAGACGAATATTCACTTCCTACAGCACAATCGGTAATATGATTATTGTATTTATTTGTTTACTGGTTTTATGTATAATTTGTTTTACGATAATTTTCTTATTTTACATAATACAATTTATATTTTAGCAGTCTCCTGGTATTATAACATCTGAAATGGTAGATGCATTGTATAGTCCTAACATACAAGATCAATTGGCAGCAACACAGAAATTTAGAAAATTATTATCAAGAGAGCCAAATCCTCCTATAGATGAAGTGATACAAACAGGGATTGTACCACAATTTGTTGAATTTCTTAAAAATAATACAAATTGCACTTTACAGGTACATGGAAATTAGTATAAACATTTTATCTTTTGTTGTATATCAAGAGCTTACATAAATAATAATTATTATTAATTATTAGTTCGAAGCAGCATGGGCTTTGACAAACATAGCAAGCGGTACATCTCAACAAACGCGCATTGTGATAGATGCAGGAGCTGTCCCTACTTTCATTTCTTTACTTGCTTCCGAGTATGAAGATGTGCAGGAACAAGCTGTTTGGGCATTGGGTAATATTGCGGGAGATAGTCCCGAATGCAGAGATCATGTCTTAGCCAACGGTATCCTCACACCGCTTCTACAGTACGTTTCTTTACATTTACAGTTTTCATGTAAATTATCGTCTAATGTTATTAAGAAAAGTTAAACATAAAATACTGTTAGATACGCGTCGTGTAACATTATTACAAACAATATCGCACTATTTTTTACAGACTGCTATCAAAGGCGACACGACTTTCCATGACCCGCAATGCGGTATGGGCATTATCAAATCTCTGTCGAGGAAAAAATCCAGCACCGGCTTTTCCAAAGGTTGCACCATGTTTACCAGTGTTAGCACATCTTCTTAATCATACTGACTTTGATGTACTCGCTGATGCTTGTTGGGCTCTTTCTTATTTGAGCGATGGTCCAAATGATAAGATACAAGCTGTTATTGATGCTGGCGTTTGCAGACGTCTCGTAGAACTTCTCATGTATGTTAAAATTTATATAAGATTTATTATGTAAGATTAATTTTATGTAAATATGGATTATAACAATTGAAAATGTTTTCAGGCATGAACAAAATAACGTTATAAGCGCGGCTCTTCGTGCTGTAGGTAACATAGTTACTGGAGATGATGTGCAAACGCAAGTTGTATTAAATTGCTCGGCATTACCGTGTCTATTACATCTCTTAAGTTCGCCACGGGAAAGTGTTCGTAAAGAGGCTTGCTGGACAGTCTCTAATATCACTGCCGGAAATCCCCAACAAATACAAGTACGTCTCAATCTTTCGAGCATAATAGCATAACTTTATTTATATATCATATATTAATAACTTATATTAACGTCTTTTTTATATAATTTTGCAGGCGGTGATTGATGCTAATATCTTCCCGGTTTTAATCGAGATTTTGAGTAAAGCTGAATTCAAAACACGCAAAGAAGCTGCATGGGCAATTACAAATGCTACTAGTGGCGGAACGGCCGACCAAATTCGATACCTCGCAATGCAAGGATGTATTCCGCCACTCTGTGACTTGCTTACTGTTATGGATGTCAAGATCGTTCAGGTCGCTTTGAACGGAATAGAGAATATTTTACGTCTGGGAGAACAAGATGCAACCATGCATAATGGTCTCAATCCTTATGCAGTTCTTATTGAAGAATGTTATGGTAAAGTATCAACTAAATACAAGTTTTATATGAAAGATATGTCGATTAATAAATATTAACACGGTAATAATCAATATCTCTTGTAATGTTTCAGGCCTAGACAAAATAGAATTCTTGCAATCTCATCAAAATATGGATATTTATCAAAAGGCCTTCGATATTATTGAACGATTCTTTGGGTCTGAGGAAGAAGATACCAGACTTGTACCTTCAATCGATTCGCAAGGACAAGAATACCAGTTCACCGCACCAGATTCTTCCCAACTACCAGTGCAAGGCTTTGAATTCTAATGAACTATCTTTCTTGATATAACTGTTTCATTTAATATTAACGTTATTCGTTCCGCAGAAATTTACAATATTTTGAAAATCGGTACGTCAATAGTAAACATGATTTTACATATTCATTCATATGAGCTGATGAGTTTATTTATGTCAAAACTAATACACTACACAGTGATCGAAATCTATTCACCGAGAATTAAAAACAGTAAAAAAATCTTCGTGCACTTTCAATTTTTTTTTCCATTTAAGAGAACCATAACTCACTATATGATCTGAGATGATTTATGTTTTCGAACCTACGTCAAATTGTGACAATGTCTGCGTTAGAGCCTTGAAACAATTTGTGTAGGAACACAGACTCATATCTGCATATATTTAGTATGAGACGTTCAGTTTTTAAAACATAAACGTCTTAGTGTTTAAGTAGAAGTGGAGACAACATCAGAACAATTTGTCGAGGCAGACTCATACCTCGTCCGACATGTGACTGACGCAGAATTACGAAAAAAAAAACTTGCATTACCCTGCAAGATACTAACTGAATGACTGAAGTACGCGACTATGTAGCCAACACGGACAACATTACGCAACGCGGTACTCACCTCCTTACTATACTAGATAGAAACATGACCAATTAAACTTTTTTACTGTAAATACGTATCTCGTAATTTTAAGGCTATTCTATACAGAGTGCCCTTAAGAAGCGAAGCAATAGTCATATCTGGCCGTCAACGCAACATTGCAACAGTTTGCAAGAATTGGTTGAAGTATTTGGTGTAATTTGTGATAGGCATGATTTGTACTGAGATACGTACAAAACATGTTTTGGTTTTCTTATGTTAAGTAATCGTGCGGAATGCTGACTCCAGTTATTATATCTATACTTTTGTTAATCCAGCATCACGCGATCAATTATTAGTTGTTCTTAATTATAAACATATATTTGCAGATGTATTAAATAAATAATTTTTATCTTATGTTTTATAATTGAATTTTTAAACTATCGCAGATGCGATATTTTTCAACCCTTTATTTGCATGTGATGAAAACGAATAGTAATGAAATTGTACAGCACAAAATTAGATTTTGGACATTCTGTATGAAAAGTCTATGACTGTATATATGAAATGTATTTATTATTTAGGTTTGACGATACCATACTATATTATACACAAACCTTATATATATACTATCTACTTTTAGTTACCGATTTGAATCGTTATGACGGAGAACGACTGTACTACAGCTCACTAGTTGAAACTTTGCTAACATGTCACTAGCAAAGTATGCAGCTATGGATACTTGTTGCCAATTTATAAAATGCTTACCAAATAGTAATACATAAAAGAGTAATACATAGAAAAGAGGACTTGCCATTATGTTGTGCACGTTATTTCTAAATAAAACTTGGGATAAATGTGTATAATGGGTGAAATCACTATATGTATTGCATGAAACATTAGGAATTGATCTAAACCAGTGTTTTTCAATCAATATAACCAATGATCTTTAGATACTTTATAAAATTTTTATCGAAAAGTAATTTTTTATAATCTTAATTATTTTAATCGAAATTTTAATTTTACCATTTTTATTTTTTATTATATTTTTATATAATAAAAAATCAAAAATTTTATTAATACATAATAATATAATATAAATATATTGAATTTATATTATATTAATGTTAATAAAGCATACTATTTATTTGATGCATAGGTAAATTTTATATATGTATATGTATAAACTTATTGAAAACTTTTTCTTATAGTATTTTATTGCTCAAAGAAGATTAAAAACACTGGTCTAAATGATAATAAATATATTTTTCCTAAAAATCTGTAATAAAACGTTAGAAAATTTATTAAAATAGAAATAAAGTATAAATAGGTATTGCGTATTAAAGCTTGACACAATTATCCTAAGTTTTTCATATATATTTCATGAATTTGGTATCTGAAACAATATCTATTAAAAAGCATTGAATGCATGTGAAAAAACCAATAATCTTCTATCTAAATCACATAAGTCGATGGAAATCATATAAGATCTGTATGAAACAAAATTTGTACTTTATATGTATATTTGATATATACATATCTTGTTATTTTGAAGAAAATGATGAGAGTTAATAAGCAATTGAATATTTGTTTAATGCGTATTTAATGAATATTTATGTATCGTTTATTATACGAAATTCATACATGTTAAAAAAATTAATTTGTTATTTTCGTATATTTGTAATTGAATATGTGTTAACAATATTTTACAATTTTATTATAAATATCGCGCATTACTAAACTTAAAATTAGAAATGTCTTGTAAATTGGCAATGAGCAGGATATGATACTCGACATTACTTCAATCATTGTATGGACTGCCGACTGACACAATCCGAAATTAAATATCACACACATACACACAAAGTAATCCTAATTACTGTATTTTATTTTGAAGCTAAATAAATATGTCATTCGGAAATGTGCGTGAAATCGCTATGTACAACAGTGTCATTATATTTTTCGAAAATAGAAATATGAAATTGTGATTAGATAACTCGCTAAAAATAAAATTTATTTCGTGTAACATTGGCATAACAAAATAAAGTTACATTAACAGATCTGTAGATCTTATATCCCCTTAGTTTGCAACCAGAGACGAATAACTTTATCATAACTGTCATAACTGCTAATATAAACAATACTGTTGCAGATGTAAAAGAAAATGAAGGTTTTTAAATTGATACTATAATCACTTTGTATTATAATGCTAAAGAAAAAAAGATTTATTTTTGTACACAAATTTATATTATCATATAAATTAGTAAAAAATATAGGTGGTGAAAAAGCTTTAAAATGTATAATGCAAAACAGATCGTGGAAAATATTTCTAATCAAATATATTCTAATTTTTCAGTTCTGACAGTTTTGATCTGATACAACTGCAGCAACAATTTAAAAGTCTCCAAAATGTTGCATCTTTATCTAATTAAGTACATCTCCCAAATTTTTTTATATTTTATACTATATTGCCACTAAACTATCATCAGATTATGTGCGATTCGTAATTTGTAATAAATTCGCAAAAATTCGTCGTTCGTATGAACTTTCCACAATGTTCGCGATTTGTGATTTGTTGTTTGTGCAGTCTAGTTCTATTACGACACATAGATAACAGAAAATCCTAATAGACAAAATAAAGAAATAAATTATTCATTCTCAAAACTGTGTCTCAAAGAAACAAGTTTGTTTTAAGAAGAAATTGAATTTTACAAAGAACTCAATCAACTGAATTTAAATATAGAATGCTAACAGCTTTTTTATTTTCTTTACGTAATGGTAATACTAATTCTTTTTAAGTGCGAATAAAGATACAACCCATACACATTTGTACTTTAGTACTATTTTAATTTATCGAAAGTATTAGGGCAAAATTTTACCATCAAGAATCGGATATCTGGAACCGACACAAATTGATTTTATTCATGACGTTTCGCGGCTTTTGCTCTCGTTAAAAAAACCTGGAGAATCAACGGAATGTTTGAATGATAAACGAGTGCAAACTTGTCTATCTAGATTATTTACAAGTTTTGTACGAATGACGAACCGCACATAAGACGTTAATCTTAATTGAACAGTTTTGTTATTTACATAACCATCATCAATGGGCTATTATAATTGTGTACGCTCATTTTCTTGCAACTTAGATTAACAGTATCTTAATCGTGGCTCAGGTTCTACCAATATAATTGCCCCGTCTGTAATGCGCGTTACAAGTGCTGTTAAAACATCCTGATCGATGCTCTTTGACAGTTTATGATAAATCTGATTTTCCACAAAGCTTAGCTTTTTCTGTGATGATTGATAATTGTTGGTTTGCATAGTAAGAATATAAATAGCTTCTGCTACTAAAGGGTTTATTCTATCGCATAAATTATGTAATGCCTTTATCGCTTCTGCATTAATATTCAGTATATCACGAATCATCTGCAATAAATTTATTCGGTTATACAAGCTTAGAGCAAAATTTACGTTTAGAATATGTATGCATACTCACCACAACCTTTTTTTTCTCCGGAGAATGGTTGTTTAATATAGTAATGATCTCACCAGCATCGTTTCCGAAATCTTCTGGATTAAATACCAGATAACTGTCTGCATCTAAAATAGTACTGCTCGCACGTGCCAGTTTAGTAGCTAAACAATCCATTGTGGCATTTTCCTTTGCAAATAACAGAATGATCGAAGGTATCTTGGGTGTTCTCGATATCACTTCGTTTATTGCGGATGAAATATCATTCCAGATGTCTGATTCTTGATTACGAAATGTTGCCTTGATGTTTTCAATTGATTCGGTTAACAGTAAGGTAGGATTGCTTCTGGATTGTGTTTTTACTTCATTCTTACGTGGAGATAATGCCAAAAAACCCATCGCCATTACTATTATAAAAATGAGGAAATAAGAAAAGGTGCTCGTATTCTGTTTACTCTTTGATGAATCAGTGTTGTCTTTAGACCTCGACTTGTCCGAATAAATATATCTTTCCTGAATAAATGTTTCTTTCTCCGAATAAACATTTCTTTCCGGTTTCTCCGAATAAACATTTCTGTCCGGCTTTTCCGAATAAACATTTCTTTCTGGAGAAATAGTTCTAGAGCGATCTAGCGAATAATATAGAAGTGCCTCTTCATCTTCCTCGCTAGAACTTTCTGTCATTTGTTTGTCATAACTAGCGCTCTGACCTCCAGGTGATACTTCAGTCTCTGATAGGTTTGATCTATTTCGTCGTCTACGTCCTTGCCCCTCCATGTGTAAACTTTGAAAATTATTGTTCGTGGAATAGCTTTCCTTTGTATCTTTTTCTCTCAGAGACCTTCGACACTTAGGTGTACGTGGTACCACTTCAGGTAAACTACGATTCTGTAAAATAATAATGTATTGTCTGTATCATTAATAAATCAGAGACGGTCGTGCAATTTCGATAATTTGGAATAATTGGAATCAAATTAGTCTAATCTTGCAACGTCATTATAGAATGTTTGTCAAACTGTGTTATAAAGATAAACGCATATAAAAGTGACACATTTCAGTCAATATACTTTAAATATGCTAATAAAAAAAAAATAAAAAGTAAAAATACATTGTAGCATCTTGGAGAACTGTACATTATGTAATACATAAAGATATGGAAGGACATCAAAAGTTTGTTAGAAGATTTGAACAAAATATCGTGGTAGATTGATATCAACTGCATCTGCATCAAGCTCATGTTCTACTAGTAGAGACGCAGGCTGCATTCCGATATTCACGTCAGCACTGCAAATCTATATTTTATGTCACGTATACTATAGATTTTCAGTACTGAAAGTTGCTGACGGTGAATATCGGAATGCAGCCATAATCTAACAACGGATTGTCAATAGGAAGGATCTGTCCATTCCATAATCATTTAAATGGTTACAAAATAGCAAATTCTACTTGTCAGTTTCTGCAGTTAATCTGTCATCAACGTGCTAGCATTCTGTTATCAATCTGCTGATAAAATATATAACGCATAATAATAATATGCATAATATATAATGCATAATTTGAAAAATCTATTTTCAAACAGATTCGGCTATCAGGGACTACATAATCTACGTAACGTAAGAGAGAAAATTCTATATCCGTTTCGCCGAAGCGATATGACTCTTAACAATTCGAAAGTCGGTGAGCAGTAATCAAACCCAAAGACATACCTCGTGCATTCCGCAGCTGGTGATAGCCGGTGAGCTTATCTCTTATTTCTTATCGTTAAAGGACAACATAACCTCGTCGCAAATCGCAACAATCGGTCATAATAGCCACATCACGAAATTTGCCGCAGGGCGCAAACGGAGTCGAAAAACGCGTCGGAGTACTCGGAGTAGTGCCAACTTAAAAGTCTGCTCCTTTTAGCTTTGCACCTTTTATCTTTTCTCCTTTTCTCTTCACCGTGGTTCAGGAGAAAAGATAAACGGTGCAAAAAGTTCAGCTGAAAAGAACAGATCTCAAGGTAGCGCCAGACTGCGCGCGATTCGTGAAATCGTGATTCGAGTTCGGAGTTCGGCGCCTCGGCGGCATTCAGCGGCATTCAGCGCTAACTTCAGAACTGTCGCTAATTGCCCGATCGCCGCTCGATGATGTGAGTGCAGCGTGCAGCTGTCGTGACAACAACGTGAGACGCACGTTTTTCGGTGCCGGTTGCCGTCGTCGTCGCTGCTGCTACGAGATTCGCCGGCGTCGTCGGTCCTGGGGACGTCAATGGGCGTCCAGACGCGAACTCGAGAGCGCTATAAGGTGACAACATGTGCGTCGGCCCGCTGAAGAAGATATGCCATTGGGGACCGCTCTCCGCGCTCGGTACGTGACAGCCTGACAGCTGTGTCTCCTGTCGACAAACTTTGGCCTTTTCTCATTTCGCTGTCGCTCGATCGTTATCTCGTCGACGAAAACGCGATAGACCCGTCGATTGCATTCTAATCTAAGAATGACTGTTAACTTTTATTCCCGCTAACATAATCGGAAATGATTAACTTATCGAGTACTATTGTTCTGTAGATTGAATTATTAATTTTTTGTCCATTGACATGCGAAGAAAAATATCAATGAAATTGTATAAGAAAATGTGAAGAACTGACGAAGGGGATGGAAGTATAAACGAATACTGTCCAACTACTTGACAGAATGACGTTCAAAGAACCAGGAAAAATTATATATTTTATCCTCGTCGATTTAATCTTTCTTTCGATTATCAAGTGACAAAGAAAGATAATTCTATCCATATTAACGAAATAGTATTTGATAAGTTAATTGGAGTTTGATCCAAGTTATCCTAAAGTAGTATATGGCAGACATAAGTTTTCACTGACAATAATAGCGAGAGATTGCTTTATTAAAGAGTATACTTTAATGTAACGTTTTGTTGTATTTATATTAATTTTTTGTATGATTTTCTGCACATTTTTAACAAAATGGTCTACTGTACTTTTACTTGGTGTTTTCTTGGCATAAAATTCTGATGGCAATGAAATTATTTGCTGATTGCTTTTGTCACATTAATTTGTGTTGCAGCGACGATAAAGATAATCACGTTGATGACCATACACTGCAGCAGACAGTGGTGGCCGCCACAAGACAGTGTTCCAGCGGCTGCCAGTTTCTTGTTGTTTTTCACTCTCAGTGGATTGACTCTATTTCATTTCATCAGCGCAATTTTTGAAGGACCTGGATATCTTGCATTAAAATGGATGCCGGTAATATATTACACATTTACCACTGAATCTGTTTAAAGTAAATTCTTTCATTTCCAACCATTTCTCCTTTGCAAACGGCTGAAAATCTTTAAACTTAATTTCTCCTTCCGTTTTCTTTTCCATTATTTCATATTTATTATTTAATTAATAATAGGAAATTGAAAACGATAGATTTGTATGGTCCTGATTGGAAATTAGAGGGATTTGACTGTATTAATTTAATTTCATAATGAACAATATAATTTTTACCACCTAAATATTATTTATATGTTGTTAATATGTTTCCATTAATATGATTCACTTTCAGGAGAAAGCTTCAGATATGCAATATCTGCAATACTGTATCGTCTGCCAAGGTTATAAGGCACCGAGATCACATCACTGTAGGAAATGTAAGAGATTTAATATAATACAAACAATAAAGTATATAAGAATAATAAATATAGATATTATTTATTATGTTTTTAACTTGTAAATTTTTTAACAATAATTTAACGATGGATTTTGCTACGATCTTGCTTATCAATGTATTATATTATTATTATTGACAGAAAAAAATATTCTTTAACGTAGCAATTTATCATATGTAATGCAGCATTGTTGTATAATTTTCAAGCTCAATACATCAATTCTATTTTAATTCTTGTTTAATTCTTTTCTTATTTACTTTTCAGGTGATCGTTGTGTGATGAAAATGGACCATCATTGTCCATGGATAAATACATGCGTTGGACATTACAATCATGGGCATTTCACAGCATTTTTGGCAAGCGCAGTCGGTGGTTGTTGCGTCGCTTGCGTTATATTAATTTCCTGGGTAGCGACTGTGCTATCACTGAGGCCTTTGCCGTTTCCACCACCAACGGTTTATACACTGATATTAGTAGTATTTAGCATTGGTTTATCAATTGGCGTTGTACTTGCAGTAGGAATGTTACTATATTTTCAGGTAAATGTTCGTAATACTATTATGTTCAATTAATATGTTAATTTCATAATTCTTCAAATTGCATAGATATTAGCCATCGTGAGAAATCGAACGGAAATAGAAGATTGGATTCTGGAGAAATCCCGATATAGGCGAGATGACACAGATGCCAAATATGTACATCCATATTCAAAGGGATGGCGTTTTAATATTAGTCAAGTTCTTACATGGGACTGCACTCCTGTCGGCGATGGCATTACATGGCCCGTTATTGATGGCTGTGATCAATATACATTAACGGTAATTTTGTTCAAATAATACAAAATTTATAATAAATGTATAATAACTATCAATTAAAGAGTACATCTGATATAAGAATTTTATAATTGTTTGTTATACAATATTATTATACTCTTGAAAACTGTATTTATAATTACGTTAATTGTTATTTTACAGAGAGAACAGCTTGCACAAAAATTAGAGAAACAGAAAAGAGCACGCAAATATCGGATTATAAAAGCTGCATCAGGATCCAAGTTTCCAATTGGACACGGCTTTGGCGTATTTTTTCATCCGCTTTGTACCGATGAACCTCGCATCAAGTTAGATATAGATGATATTGTGATCGTAACACGTTGGAAAAAGTATGCATTCCGTATTTCTCATTAAATTTCTAAAAATGTATTTCTTTGGATAATTTTCTATTTGACGGAAAATTTTTTTATTTTTTGCAGATATTGGTTATTTGGGGAAAAAGAACGGAAGGAAGGAGAAGAGACGAAATCGAAACGTATAAGAGGATGGTTGCCGCGGCCCTGTGCGGTGGAAATAATAGAAAAATCTGTATGGTTTAGATAATTTATTCAAGAACGATTTATTAATTTTTTAACATTTGTATGACAATATTCGTGAAGATATGAGAAACTGTTTATAAAATAATTTCGCATTTTTTATAGTACATAAAAACTGAAGAACGCGTGTCATTTGTAATCGAGAAATATTGCATTGTTTATGCCTATTCGTGTTCAAATCGATATATTTTTCTTGTATTTACCTCACACTATAGATTAAGACATTTCTTATGTTACAACACTTTTGTATAAATAAGTAAAAATGTATATACACTTTTGCTTACTCAGATGTTCCAGTAAGTTCTTAGTGTAAAAATTTTGTTATGTAATATACATATACATATAATTATATACATACATATAATTTAATATAATTGAATACATATACATATAATTTAATAATTACATATAAACGTAATTAGTATGATAACGTGTAAATATGAACTATTTAATAGCAACAAATCTTATTTTGTGAAAAATAATATTCCAATTAAAAATATTTTGAATTATTAATATAAGTTTTTTTATCAACTTTTTATGAGAACAAAGGCGTGTCACAAGAATTTATATACATACGTTAGACGTTAGACAACAGGAAAAGCATTTGTAATGCGAAACAATATGCAAATAAATTGTTTGGTCTTGCGATGCCGATTACGAGGTAATCTGAAAGTATTTCTAGCGCATATACTACCGACGGCCTGAAAAGGCCGTGGAAAATCAATAGCACACAGTGTGAAAAGTCACATTGACTGAGTGAACTCGCTATGCATGTGTTAGAGCATGTGTAGGTATGTGTAATCCGCGCACGCTTTTGCATTATGCGCGCTCGTTCGAAGAGTTTAACACGCAATACAATTGCTCTGCATGACTGCAGAGCATTTTCTATTATTCTACTCATCCCTATCGAACGCAAATGTTATATATATATATAATAATAATCGGCGGACGAGTATATTATACACAAAGGGAAGTATTGCGTAAGGGTCAATGTTAACATTGACCTTTACGCAATACTTTCCTTTGTGTTACAATGTTACATCCTGATGTGTTGCAAGCCGCGAATTTACGTGCATAACAGCGTTATGCGTAACATTTAATAATCGACAGTGAAAGGATCGTATTAGCGACTCATGAAGTACGTAATCGAATGCAATATGCAACAACTCAATTTGCCGCGAATGCTTACAAATCGATAAATCGGTAAAGAAAACGAGATGTCACTATATATATTCCAAAACAAATATCTTGCGATATCAGGAGCTACCGTTGCTTTGTCAAAATATCTGTTGCCGTTCTTGAACTCCTTTTCATAATTTTATCTGTTATATTTAATCGATATAAATATGGATTCCTTTCATCCATTCACTTGAGAACTTAGAGTTTAATATTCATATATTCTCTTGCGAAATGTACTTTAAAAGCTATGCGAGAAAACGAGATATGTATTATAAATACAGAACGAAATTGCAATAGGTTTAACAGCGAGCAAATAATACCTAGTTGTCCGCGTGACAACAGTGATAATGAAGATTAAGTTTGTCGTATTTGATAAAAGGCAATGCAAATAGCGTGATGCATGCACATAAATGCCCAAGAGTGCACTACTTTAAACAAACGCATTTTTTATTTTGATTTGATATATTTTATATAGAACAAACAGTTTTTTATAAAAACATTTTATTCTAATTTAATGTTTAATAATTTTCTAGATCAATTATTCTTCCTTTTTAAAGAGAATATTAATAATCGCTTTAATATTATGCACTCTTATCTAATATTCAAAAATTAAAAAGCCGACGAATTGTAGGAGTTCAGCAATATAAATGTATGACTGAAATGCATTTTTAAATTTATTTGTATTGAATATTAGATACAGTATATTTTAAGCATATATGCACCTTTTAGTATATTTAAAGTTTCAAGATGGCAAGAAGACAAGGAGATAATTCTAAATTATCATGTAGTTGCGATGAATAACGGCGTTTTCCAGCAAGGAGATCAGCCTCATACTTGTTGAGAATAATGACAGCGTTACATCATGTATCGTTATGTGATACGTAAAAGGAAGTAACACATTTACGGCAGTATTTTTTGCTACGTGTAAAACTTGTAGGTATTCTCCTAAACGAACGAAGAGTGGAACCGGTTACAGGATCGACGAAGGAATCGAGTGAAAGTGAAGGATTAATTTAGCAAAAACGGAGTGCGCGGCTTTGTGATCCTATGGTGGGATCCCACCAACGTTTGGCTCGCCGGCAATTGATCGGGTACCGCAGTTTCTTACGTGCGGATCTGTCACGAGCACGAAATATCCTTTTATCCTTGCGCGATTGTTCGTGCAAACAGCTTATTGTTTCGAGTAAGTCTCTGCAGTTTATTCCGTTATCGCACGAAACGATTCAATTCACCGCTTGTGTGAAGAAGGCAAGGAAATGATTGCTTTCGATAATCTCCGATCGCTACATATTCATCTTCTTCAAATTTATCCTAAGTAGTATCTCATGAATTTCTCTGTGTTTTTAAATTAGGTTTGTGTATTCGAACTTTATTTATGAAACCAGACATGTAGCAAATTATTTATTAATTAGTCAACGTTTTAAATTTCGTGGACGATATTAACTTGATATTATTTATATAGCTATTTCTGTACATGAACTATTTGGTAATATTAATATATTATATTATTAGCTATTCCTGTGATATTAAATCGCGTGTGACATAAGCGCGGATAAATGATCAGCATAAATAAAAGACGTGATATAATTAAAACGGATTACTTAGAAGCTTTAGCTTTAGAAGCTAGAGAACATTATACATTCCACTCATCCTTTCCGTCAGGAACGATCAATATTAATGAAATTTTGTTGCATGTATCTTTCGCGTCGTCGAAACGAAGGAAGCGATCAAGATGCATCTCGTCGGACACATTACGGTTTTATTCGCATTCATCCTCTTCTCGTCGATTTCCGTCCTCGGGTTTCCGGATGGCGGGCCGGTGGATGCGTGCGTGAAGCCACGGCCTAATCAACCCTATCATGGCGAGGCGCGATCACAGCCCTTAAACACGAGCCCTTACAAGATACTGGCTTCGTCGTCGCAGTATGGACCAGGCTCGCAGGTCACAGGTGGGTCAAGCGCGTCTGGTGCTTATCTTGTATTATTAAGCACCATCTGGTGGTTCTGGGTTAATTTCTTATTACGCAAAATAAATGATGAAATTTTCATTAGAGAAATTTTCATTCATGAAGTCTAGAGCACTTCCGAGCGAGAGATAGCGATACAATAGACTAGAAAGTAATTTTATAAAGCTGTGGCGTACGCAAAGTCTTTAGGGTATACAAAGGATTTCATATCGTTTGAGCTAAAGTTAACGATAAGATAATAAGAACAATATATAGACTATACAGTATATGTATACTGGCGGCGAGAATCGAGAAGCCGTTGAAATTAAATATTATTTGATAATAATAAATGAGCGAAACGAGAAATAAATTAAGCATTATTCCGTAGAAAAAATTCATTATTTTTATTAGGATATATGTGCAAAAAAATATACATTTATAAACTTGTAAAAGTCGAAAAATTGGTTAAGTTGTGTAGCTGTGTTGGTGATGTATATTTGAAAGATCTCAATACGGACGGCTAACTTTATATAAAAAGAATTTACTTGAAATTTGTTTTAATTACAAATTATTAAGTTATTATTAAGCTACAATTATTAATGTTAGAAAATGCAAATATAAAGAGGCTTAGAAGATTAATAAATCAATTGAAATAAAAGAGGTTCAGAGCCACAACTAGATGCTCGTGTTGATGTATTTAATAAAAATTATTATTCACAAACGTTTCGGTTCTTTAGATACTTATCGATATATGTCTCGATTATATTAATATTTAAAGTGACAGTTTATAACATGTCTTACCATAAGGAACATTAAAATTCTTTTTATTATTGCTTTTATTTTTTAACATGTTTGTATGAAGGGAACTTGATTTACGCTTTATACGATTGCCTTGATTATATATACTGCGAATAATACGTTGTTGCGTGTTTATATAACTTTTAATTACAGTTTTCTTTTGTTTAAATTACACGGAAGATGTCTAAATATAGACAGAAACGTTAGTGAATAATAATTTTTACATCGACACGAACAGTTGTAATTCCGAGCCCCTTTTATTTCAATTGAGTTAGAAAATGTGTTGAATAGTTTTTAAAAGTAATTGTTCTTCAATTATTATGTAAGTTCAGATGGTCATTATTTCAAATATGTATGACATTGAGTAACCAATCAAGTTTTAACTCTTTTCTATTTTTATTTTTTAATATACATATATGCTCCTTTGATGATAGATTTCTTTTAAGTGTAATGTCTAATTTATTTCAATCTGTCTACTCATTGTAAGATAACAACAATTTAATTTTAGCAACTTTTCAAAAAGAAAAATGTTGCGAATATCTTGCGACAATTAAAAATACAAAATTCTAAGATTGTGTATAAAAAAGTGAAATATGTAATTATTTTATAAAAGAAAACACACACACACAATTGTAATGCAGAGTCGATTTCTTTTTCTCTGTTCCTCTTTCTATTGCCATTTCTCGCTTAGAACTCCAACTCACAATCAGTGCAATTCTATGCGAATATTATTATTATATATAAATTAATATATAATCTAGTTCGTCTCATTTTTATCACGACAGCATGCATTTTACCCGACACGAGATAATTGGACCCATCAAAATCACAACTGTGAAACATATGTTAAATGTCCGTAACGATTCTATTGGCTTCGTTGAACACATCTGCGCTCGTGGAACAATGGCGAATTAGGCCGACAAGAGGGATAAACGTGCCTGTGATCGTTTTCGAGCGTGCAAACAGTTTCCATACGTGGGTCACGCGTGATTGAACGTAGATATGTCATTCATCCGCGAAGGAAGGTTGAAACGAAAGTCTAAGAACTGCGTAGTTGTGAAATGACATGTCAATATAAGACTGTGAAAACTCGTGCAGATCAAATGCGTGTCAACTAATGCCCGCAATATCACAATGCGGATATCTCGCAGACAAAAATTAAATTTTGTTCTTTTCTTTTAACGTCTTCTTCAAATAACTTCAAACAAGATAAATGTAACGCGCGATTTTAGAAAAACAATCGGAAAAAATGATTTTAAAAAACGCATAAATATAGATATTTAAAAAACGTAATTTAATTTGTCTAGAAAATTGCAATGAGTTTATCTAGTGCAATATTATAACAAGTTTTATAAAACAATTCTCTACTTTGTGCATGTCTCATTATTTGCAAATAAAAGATATAACAGCAGATCCTCTTCTAAAAAGGAGATGTGAAGTTTATTGTTGCCGCTTTTCCGCGATGCCGATTGGTTCTCTTGCTGCGCTTACTTCATTTGCAGCTGTCATTGTATATTTTGACAGTTGTGTGTATCAAGGAGTTAATAATGTAATAGTAATAGCATAATGTTAAAGCTAAATAGCGCGCGCGAAGCGCGCGTCTGTAGTGTCTAGTATTAATAAAATTAATATGCAAGATAAATTAACTGCTAAGATTAAGTTCAAATTTTTCGAAGTTTAACGAGACGTTTCATCGAACGTTACGAAAGTCATAAGACTCAAATATATAAATTTAATAAACTTGAGATGTGCTTAATTTTTTTTCATATATATTATATTTCACATTTAAATGTTATGTATTTTATTATATTTTTTATTCCATTATAATCGTTACTCTATATTTGATAACACGATATACATTCCAAATGTAAAATTCTCACTCGTTATTCCCGCACATGTTTTCCGCTTGTTGTTTTCCATTTATTCTTCTGAAATTAATGTAACTTAATTCGTTTTTTATTGTTCTATTGCGCTATCTGATAACCAATTCGATACTATAGGATTGCACAGCGTAAAAGTTCAAATGTTTTCAAACAGTGGATTTTATATATATAGTTACGGTATCAATAATATTAATAATATAATCCTTTCAGCAATTTTTTGGGGCTCGTCTCTCTTCTTCATAGTTTATATCTAGTTTATTCGTGATAACATTCGTTTCAAATCCCCTGATGGATATAAATAGCGAATACTGCTATGTTCGACTACCTGCTATTTCTTTTATATGAAATCATTTTGCCGATATTGCGATAGATTCGCGCGCGATTGCCCTGACCACGCCACGGCAAAGTGCGCTATATCATCTCAGATACAGATATACACCGCGGTGATAAGAGACAGACTGAATTTTATCCGATTGAATAATGTCCATCTTCATTGGATCTCGTCTATTTTTCAGTCACCATTGTGGGTGCCTCGTTTAAGGGATTCTTCCTGCAGGCACGTGATACCGGTACAAACGAATGGATCGGATCCTGGGCTCGTACGCCGAACACGAATATACATTCCGAGTGCAGTGCCGTGACGCACGCGGATCCGCGCGATAAGGAGCAGGCTACCTTCATCTGGAACGCACCGGCAAACGCACGCGGCAGCGTTTACTTCACGTGAGTGCCACATTCTCAACGGAAATCCTGTGGGAAATATCCATTCTCATGCATTAACGATGGAGTGTAGGAAGGACGATTCTGAGAGTTATCGCAAATTGCGACCATTGAGACCTTCATTGTCTATATAATTATCAAGGGTTCCTTGGAAGATGTGACTTCGATGAGATATACGATATTACATGCTATAAATACATATACATTTATGGCTGAAATGGTTGCTTAAGAATTACGCAATAAAATTTCCCGTAAATTCATACCTTGATTGCATATTCACGACAATTGTGAGCATATAATTTATTGTAATCATATAGTTTATTGTGACCATATAGTATGCATTTTATGCAACACATACAGCTCAAATTCCAATAATTACGATTAAATCATTATTCTTGATCGAAGAGTATCTCGACTTTCTCATTTTTATTAAGAATTTTTTGTTTTAGAAAAACATGGAATTTTTAATCACGAGATTAATTTTGAAAAATCAAAAATTGTGTTTATATTGTTTTTATAAAAGATAAATAATACTTGCGCATATAGTTCTCTATATAAATACAAATAAGTTTAAAATATCATCAAAATAAGTCAACATGTTCAGAACCGGTTTTTTACATAAAAATGATTCACAAATATGGTAATCAATTATGTCACGTTATTATAACTATGACCTATAATAATTTCATAGTTATTAATAAGAATATTAAAATATTTGTTTTCATATTTGTTTCATATTTTAAAATTCTTTTTTCGCATAGATATGTATTTTACATTTACAATGCATCTAGACAAAGCAAATTTAATAACAATAAAGTGAGCACAGTTTAATTGTGAGTTCAGCTTCAATAAAAAATGTTTCTGTTAAATTTTTTAGAGAATTAATTCTGTATATATATATATATATATATATATATATATATATATATATATATAT